TACACATAAATCTAATTTCTATGCCCTCATGTCCCTTTATGATATCAGGTTAGCCCATAATTAGTGAAAATGAAAATTTAAATAGCTAAAAAAAGTTTTTTAAATGTCGCACTTACGTTTTTACTAATGTTTTTACTAATCATGAAATTGTTTGATTTTATAATATTTATATTTACCTTTCTTCTAATCATGTTATAAAATTTTTGTTTTCCGTTTTTTTTTAATTTTCATATTCACATTTCACTAATTATAACTTAGAAAGTCCTAAATTTTTCATATATTTATATTTTCATTTTCATTAATAGCACCACTTTACTTTTAAAACTTTACCCTTTAATTTCATTTTTAGAAAATTTCATTAAAAAACTATATTGAAATTATATAACATGCAATACAATCATTTAAGATGTCGACATATTTTTCGTAAAATAAATTACGTTTAACTGGAAGATAAGTTTTTATATTTTTATCGAGTAACTATTAAAGTTTTAAATGATAGTTTATAGCGTATATCAGTAGATGATTTATAATGTCACGTGCAACTATTTATAGGTCGTATATAAGATGTGAAAGACCAAGTTTATCTCTTGAGGTTTCTAAAACTCAAAGACTTCTCTGTATTCTTTTCTTAGCTATTTTTAAAGTATGGTAACAATAAAAAAGTAGAATAGAAATCAACAAATAGCAAAAAAAATTTCTTTGCCATTTGTTGAATTTTTCTGTATTTTGTGTTTTTGTTTTCCTTTTTAATTGCACTTTTAATTCTATTTTATTGTATTTCATTTTAACACTCAATTCTGTGCTTTTCAAACAATTCTTGAAAATTTCAGAAATACTTTTTACTATTACGATTTTTACGTTTCACTTCCTCACTTCCATGACTATTATTTTATATTAAACTGTTTCAAAAATTTTACACTTCTCCATTTTTTGATTTTTATTTTATTTATTTTTTAATACACCATTCTATAATTTTTTAATACACAATTCTATAATTTTCATATGATATTTTTCATTCTCACAATTTATATTTTATTTTGTCTATGCTCTTCAATTACGTGCATTCGAATGTTCGGATTTTCTTTATTCAATTCTATATTTCATCGTGTGTCTTTCATTCCTACGATTTACATTCTACGTTATCCGTGTGGTTCAAAAATTATAAAATTTTTATTCTTGTGATTTATATTCTGTTTTATCATTGCTATTCAACATTGTATAAAACATCTTACACTTTTCATTCACAATTTATATTCTACTTCTTATACATTCTTCAATTATATGCTCTTTAATTCTTATCGTTTACATTCTATTCTATTAATATTATTCATTTCTATATTTTTCATTTCTGTGAGTTGTTCTAATTTATCAGTGTCAACTAATTCTATACTTCATCGTGTACTTTCCTTATGACTTATATTCTTACTCCATAGATGTCATCCAATTCTATGCTTCTTTATCTATGTGCCTTTCAATCTTATCATTTATATTCTGTTAGTCATTTATTTATTATACTTTTCATTTTTTCAGTTTGTGTTTCATATTATCCATACTCTTCAATTATATATTTTTAATTCGCTTAATCGTTTACTTTTCATTTATCGCTTTTATTCTATTTTACCAATACCATCCAATTCTATACTTTTTCATCGTTTTCTTTTATGACTTATATTCTACTTTATAAGTGCTATTCAATTTTATACTTCTTCATCGTGTGTTCTTCGTTCTTATCACTTACATTCTATTCTATAGGTGCCGTTCAATTCTATACTTTTTCATTGTGTGCTTTTCATTCCTATGACATATTCTATCCTATCGAAGCCATTCATTTCTCTACTTTTCACCTTACACTTTTCGTTCGTGCAGTTTACACTCCACTTTATCTATGCACTTCAAACGTACGTTCTAAAACTATGTACCATTTACCGTATACTTCTCACTCGTGATTTTAGTTTTATTTTATATTAACATTATTATTCCCTAGATAAAAAAAAACAGATATTATTTTTCTTCATTGCTGTTTACTTATTTAGCTGTTTTGTTACTCAACCTTTCACATCAAACGACCGAAAATTTGTGTAAGTAACCTTTAGAATATTCATTAGAAAAAACTAAAAGAAAAAATTATGAAGAAGGATGAAAAAAAAGATAAGAAAGATGAAACAATTTGCATCTTTAATTTGCAAATCATTTCGAATTAAATGCAATTTCTTTAGTGATGAAGTCGTAAACAATTGCTAAATATCTACTTATAAACCGTAATAATCCCTTGATTAATTACAAAATTAATGCTTTATCATCGAATGTAGAGCTGTATACATACAGTAAAGTTAATAAATTAATATTTACATCAACTTGAATTATTATTAATGAAACGTTAAATAATATTTATTAAACAGAATTAATGAATAATGAAATTCGCTATAAGATATTTAATAGTTTTGACATCTATTTGACCTAAATTACGGATGTTCTAATGAATTTTTGTTAATTAAATATTAATTTTTTAAATTCAAAATTCAAATTTTATACTAAATATGGGTTTTAACTGATGATATCTAGTTACTTATAATGGTAAATATGAAGTAATATTAATTTTAAATCATGTAGTAATTCATTTTTCGTGATTCCACCCGTTAGAAATTCAATCGATCGTTGGGAATGACAGTCGTATCAGAGTGTAGAAAAGCCTGAGGCGTTGGTAACCATAGCAACAAGATGATGTGGAACAAAGAATGTTGTGGATAGATCTTTTGTTAATATTGTTGTTATTTAATATGATAAAAAATCATTTTGATTCATACAAAGCTTCTGTGCATGCAATGCTATTTAAACACGCTTGTTTAACACAAAAAAATAAATAAAAAGTGGAGACTTTCACTAACCACGCTTCTTGTTCAATTCTTTTCATTATTTTCCTTCTTATAAACCTCATTTAATGATTTGGTATCTCCAAAATCCTCCAATAAAAGAAGAGGAAACAAAAAAGTTCGGCGCCGTAACCTTTGACCTTACGGCGCGGAAGCAAAAGTATCTACAGAGAAGACGTGATATGGACCAGAAATTACACAGTTTTAAAGGAAAAATTTTATCTAAATTCTTCTCTAAATTCATCTAGATGAAACGCTTTATGAAATTGTCTCAAAGGGAATCTTTTCGCGAAATTATGACATAAAAGAAAGTCTAAAACATAAAATTTTGGCATCTTTTTTTTGTGATTAAACGAGGAATTTTTGGTTCGATTTTAGTGCTAAAATTTTAAATTTTGGTTCAAGTTTTTTGGTAATAAAATATAAAATTTTGACATCTTTTTAGCAATAAAATGTAAATTTTGGCTTCTTTTTCTTTGTCGTAAAACTTAAAATTTTTGTTAAATTTTAATAGTAAAATACAAAATTTTGGTAATTTTTACAATAATAACACTTAAAATTTTGATTTATTTTTTTAATTTATAACACTAAAGTTTTATAATTAAAACATTTGTCGAAATTTTAACATTTTAACATTTTATTGTCTTTTTAGCACTAAAACCTAAACTTCAAGTCCAATTCTTGATGATAAATTACAAAATTTTAAACCAACTCATGAGAAATTATCAAACATGCACTTAAAAAATATGATGCACTTAAACAAAAGTATGCCATGTTGCATACATAAAAATTACATAATTTTACACATGCACGAAGCATTTAGAGGTATTCTGCACAAAAGAAATTCTTGTATAATCAGAGAAACAATTTCCTCAATAGATATAATACAATTTTCTATAATCAGATATGAATCATAAGAAGGAAAATAACAATAAAGATTCTCATAATCCCATTCTATACATAACTTATGAAATTTTTATAGCACAAAAGTAACTTAACACCAAAAATAAAGAAGATATCTTACGATCCTGCATGTTTTTTATGAACAAGGAAAGAATTCTTTCATAAAAGTATAGACTTATTTTTCTGTTGTTATGAAGGATAAACTGTATCCATCATAAACTATATATATATTCTATAGAGTTATTTATTATGGTATAAGTATTTTCTAATTTAAAATTTATGATGTATCTTAAAATAATTTGACTCTTTTCAATGACGTGAGATTTATCAGATGATAAACAGTATCAGACGAAAGATAAAATATTTAAAAAATTTCAATTGATAAAGAAGAAAATCCACGTCAAATTTATTGAAGACAGGAAATTTATTCTCAACTCTTCTTTGAGACAATAATGTTAAAATTCTTGACATCTGACATCTTTATCCTCAATGGAATTTTGGAAACATTGGAAAAATCCCAACTCACTCAATCCCAAAAGAAAAAAGACTAAAATTTATAGAAATATATTAAATAATTTCAAATTAAGATTATATAAACTAATACTAATCTTACTTTCTTAAATTTACTATAATTAATTGATTAAATTTAACTATATATGTACAGGATGGACCAAAAGTCAGTTAATTCTGTTTTATTTTGTATATCACAAGTGGAAGTTGCGAATATAATGCATAAAATAAGTTTAAAACAACGTGTACAATTGATGTAAACATGATAAATTATATATGTATTTAAATAAGACAACAATTTAATTTTTACATTGGTTAATTGGCCCACTCTGTAGATACAAATATACCTTTTTTTTTCTTTTACAAGATTGCTATAAATAGGATTTTAAAATATGATTAAGTGCTTAAGTATTTGAAAAAGAGCAATTTAGTCTATACAATGGTCAACTGACTTTCGGAACACGTTATATATACTGTATNTAATAATATATATAATTATATAAATTTTTACAAATATTTATTACTATAAATCATGCTACCATATGTGCTTATATACGGAATCATTGCTAAAGGTATAAAGATACGTCTTCGGGTATGTCTATCTTTATTTTTCTCAGCTTCTCGGCATCGGTCCAACATTCAAACCACCTGTTCCGTTAAAAGGAATAAAAAAAAATTTTTCAAAGTATAAATATTATACATATACATATAACTCACGGCGAATTGATCATTGATGTTGGATTTATCACTTTGTTGAGCATGTCCTGAGCTGCTGGATACAGGCAAGTCTCGGATTTTTCCCGAGATGTTGGCGGATGCAGATCCACTGGTGTAGTTCATTGGTACTCTCTGACAGTCTGGTAGCAAACACTGAAGCAAACTGTGCAGCAACAGCGCTACTGGCGGACAATCTGCAAACTGTGTCGTCATCCAAAGACCCAGTTGATGCACGACAGCACATAAAAGTACCTCACGAATATAAATTTTTTTAAAAATTATCCGTTAAACTAAAGTAATGATTGAGTTTATTAAAAGCTAAAACACAATCTTAAGTGCTGTTTATATTTATTATTTTATATCTTAAATTTTTCTTCAAATAAATTGGTTATAAAATTAGAAACTGTACGATGTGAATTATTTACAAGAAATTTATTGCTGGAGTGTTAATTGTTTGAATAAATTCATTTTAAAAAAATTTATAATGATATATTATAATTAAATTATACAATATACTTTAAATTTCTTAATTATAATTATTATATTATAAAATATACAAATATATTAATATAACAGGAAGAATAAATGTAACATTTTCACCTCGAAAAAAAATGACTTTTGAGAATTTAATTATATAATTTAATTTTTAGAATTTATTTAAATTATAATAATTTAAACGTTAAAGCATTACTTAGATTTTGTTTAACAAATTTCCATAATTGATGAGACTTAAATACAACATCAAAATTTAAATTTAAATAGATTAAATCTAGAATCTGAAACTATACAAACTCTCGCAAAATTATAATAGGATTAAAAATAAATAGAAATATTTGGAATTGATTATTAAATTTTTACGTTAAAAGAATAATTTAATGCTTTTGTTTTAATATTTATATATTCATTTAATTACGTACTTTACTAAAGGGGAGGAGGAAAAAAAGTTTAGTATTATAGATCGATATATGAGCGATCAAGTCGTTGTTCTGGCTAATTTAACAAATTATTAGCAACATTATCTTCCAAACGTGCACCATTCCGTAATCTAATGGAATGTCACTTGGGAATATTCCAAAGTTAAGAATTTTAAGATAAACAGTGACTTAGTATATTTATTATTAACGATTATCAAGCAGTAAAGTAGACTTGAAGAGAAATTATTATGTAGTTTTCTTGTACTACAACGTATTCTTATTTAGATACTCCAGTATTTTTATTATTATTATTTTATAGGTTCCTTTTTTCTCTTGTTGAACATTCAATTGATTATTTGTCTCTTCTAAACATGCAATTGAATTTTCTTGTTTTTTTTTAATAACCTGTAAAATTATATTATTCTCAACATAAAATTAAATATTT